CGAAGTGAAGAATATATAACTAACACATTATAGTCATCTTGATTACCTACATATCGGCCATTGTGAATTTCATACTGTGATTATCGTGCAAATTAGTTACCCAATTTCTACGGGCTTCGTATTTGATTCATATTTTGACAATGAACAAAAGTATGTCTAGATTTTTAAGATGGAAAACTGAACTTATCAGCGTTAAATCTTCCACAAATCCTATATTTAGACACAATTGCACTAATGTTTATCACTTTATATCTGTAATTTCGAACTGAAACATAATGATTTAATACTAAATAGAGGAATAAATGTTTGCCCAATATGGCGGGTGGTTGTGTACAATCATGGCATCGTCCATGTTGTCTTTAGGTTATTAGAATATTTTGGTGTTACCTGCAGGTATTATACGTTACAACAATTTGACAAATGTCTGAAATGAAATACCGACAGAGTCGAATGATTTACCCAGAATTTGTACCAGATCTATATCTTCTGTTTGAACAGTTGATAAAACCTTTTGAACCGATATGCATGCGTTGTTTGTCTTAAAACATTGGTTATGGCATTTTAACAAAAATATGACAGCAGAAAGTTAGGTTATGGTGAAGTTGTTTACCAACATATTTAGCATATGTATCAGTTGTATAAGTGCTTCCGTTGGGAGCAATTTGTTGGCTAATGTAGTAAATTGCACAGCAAAGCATCAAGGCTCGGGTTTGTTTTATAAACGTTAGCATGGGTGCCACAACACAACCATTTTGACTAACTAGTTGTATAAACGTTTATGCAAAAGTTAAAAATTTGCCCTATAAGGTGTTGTATAACTATGCTACAAGAATATTTTAAACACCTCATTTTAGAGCAACTATGTTGCAGAAAGCAAATTTGCATTCCACACAACATTAAGCCAGCATTTTGGTGTTCAGGCAACAACAGAGCTTTTATGGCTGAACGGTTCTTTTACCAAAAGCTTATACCACTATTTTGCTAGTTGGGCGCGAGGCTCGAATTTTAAATATTCTGGTATCTCGTTTATCCCCTAGACCTAGACGCTAGATGAGGTTGCAGATACAATCCTTTTGCATATCTGCCCAAAATACGAAAATTTCTATTTTTCTTGTCATACTGAGGACCAATACACTGGATATCCACATTTTACGCGCTTCATCTGTATCCTTGTCTATATAATATATTGGACGACGTTAACCTCATCATTTAACCTTGCTGGCTTATCCTTCACGCTTCAGTAGCTCCAAAATAAAGTCGCGGGTCAGGCATTACCACTGGCGAGAAAGTATTGCAATCGCGAAACATTTCGATGATGCGATATTTTATTTTTTTTGTTACATGTCATTTAAATCACGAAAATGATGTCAATCATTTCCGTCGGTCTGTCTGTCCGCTAATCCTTCTCCCAGCTATAACCTGGTAAACACCGGTCGGATTTTGATGGAATTTTGAAATAAAAAGTGATATTTTCGTGTATTTTTGTTCTCTATCTGAACAAATTAAAATAAATAAAGATTTTTCTAATTTTCTTGAAAATGATTCAACCGTCAAACGTCAAAATAGAGGACTTCGAAAGACCTTTCAGACAAGCTATTACTCGATACCCCATTTAAAAATTTTAAGAGGATGACCCTGGGGGGCAGAGGGTGAAAGGGGCTGATGTAAATTTTGGTTAACAAGTTGTCCCACTTGACAAGTCTTCCCACGTGTCTCGGCGTTTTTCCTTTTAATCAGTGGTTTTGGCTAAATCGGTGGTGGGAAGTTTTCAACTACGAGTTTTATATGCCAGATATTATTTTCGTACAATCCACAATTAATTGGGTTTTCATCGAAAAGTCATATATTGTCCAAATTATCGTTTCTTTATCTGCACTTAGTACATATCGCTCAATGTGGTTTTCCATGCTTTTATAATTTTCACTTGACTCTAAGCTTAGATATACAGGGTGTTCCTTAATGATATGCGAATATTTAAGGGTGTGAATCTACATAAAAAATGAATGTTAGTTTGCTTTATAAACTATGGTCCAAGAATGTTTCCTTACAAAAACTCGGGGTGTTAAAGTTTTAGGAAAAAAATTGAAATTAATTAATATGATCATAACCGCTTCAGATATTTCACTGATAGTTAGTACGTAGTGAAAGTTAATAAAGTTGCATATTTTTAAATGCAGAAATAATTTTTAGCTTTAACAGTGGCGTGCGTACGGGTATTGACTTCGATATTTTTTAAGAAAAAAATGGTACGCCAATCTTTTTTTCCAAATAAAAATTATTTTTGCTTTCGTTCGATGCGCCTTTTTTGAGTAAAAATATAGAAAACGTTCTATTGTCCGAGAAAATTAATGTTATATACTAAGTGACATATAAATCCGAACACCCAGTTTAAATGGTTTTATTTTAATAAAATTTTGTACAAGTACTTAATGAAGCATAATAAGTAAATGATAAAAATTTCAAAATGATTGCACTGCTTTAAAGCCCTTTGACCTTTAATAATGTGTGGATGCACCCTGATGTGCTGCGCATTCTCCAACGCGCCTAGGCATGCTTCTGATCAGGTGGTCAATGTCCTATCTCATTCCAGGCAACCACCAACTATTCTCGAAGTGCTTCTAGAGTCTGAGGAGGACGTTGCAAATTGAGCAATCTCCTACCCATCATATCCCACACGTGCTCAATTGGGGATAAGTCGGGAGATCTTGGTGGCCATGGTAACAATGTGACATCATTATGTTGAAAGAAGTCTATAGTGACTCTTGCAACATGTGGTCGGGCATTATCTTGTTGGAAAGTTGGATCTGCCAGGGTGTCAAGATAGGGTAAAAGATGGAGTTCTAGAACTTCGTGGATATAACGCTGCGCGTTCATGTTACCTCTGATGAAGATTAAAGGTGACCTGGAACCATAAGCTTCCCGAAGTCCCACTATACGGCCCCTATCAAAGTCACTAAGTTGACGAAATCGTACAGGTCTCCGTACTCTAGGCATCGTAACCGATCGTAAAGGATGTCAAGAACCAAAATCCGCCAACGTTGATTCTTTACTGCGGCTGAAATATTCATTTTTAGAGCGTTAGTGAATTAAAAAAAGCAGTATAAAAACCGGAATGTCCAACTGATAAGGCTGAAAATTTTTTCACTTGTTATTTACAGTAAGATAAATACATTCACCAACTTTTATTAAAATAAAACCATTTAAACTGGGTGTTCGGATTTATATGTCACTTAGTATAATTGAAGAATGCAATTTAGCAATAAATATCTATCTATCTAGTTGATCTGGAATATGTGACTGGCTTTTGACATCTGACAAGTCTCTGTTATTCAAATCTGTTCGCTGTGACATCTTTTTCATTATTTAGTTTTTACAATCTTGTTAATAATGGTGAATTATTCAAAGGCAGAAATGGCGGAAATGCATTACGTATATAGCCTTGCCGACGGTAATGGTGAGCAAGCCAGCCGGATTTATCACCAGAGATATCCCGATCGTGCTTTGCTAGATAGTCGAACCTTTTCTAATATTCACCGTCGTCTTGTTGAAACTGGTTCTGTCCGAAAAGAGACATCTGAAGGTAGACCTCTAAGTATGAGAACACCTGAAATTGAGGAAGCAGTGCTGCTCGAAGTCGAAGAACATCCTGAAACGAGTACGCTAGACACTTAAATATTTTCCATCAAATTGTTTGGAGAATTTTAGTGGATTTTTTGTTATATCCTTACCATATTTTAAGAGTACAGGCATTACTTCCCATTGATTTTCCAAGGCGTGTGACCTTTTGTCAGTGGTATCTTCAAAATATTACGCAATTTGAATCAATGATTCTGTTCACGGACGAAGCTAATTTTTCTCGAAATGCAATTCAGAATCTCCACAATAGTTATTTGTGGGCAGAATAAAATCCCTATGCCGTAACCGAAACCTATTTCCAACACCAATTTTCGGTTAACGTATGGGCAGGAATTATTGGCAACCACTTTATTGGCCCATTCTTCTTGCCGGGACGACTTGACGGACAGACTTACCTCAATTTTTTTCAACAACAGTTGCCTTTGCTTGTAATAAGAAACAATGTGTGGTACATGCATTATGGTGCACCAGCGCATTTCAGTGTAACGGTTCGTAATTATTTACAACCTGTTTATCCAAATCGTTGGATTGGCTGCGGTGGGCCCCAAGAGTGGCCACCAAGATCCCCAGACCTCAACAGTTTAGATTTCTTTTTGTGGGGCTATCTTAAGACACTAGTGTACACAAGTCCCATTAACACTGTCGAGGAATTAAGAGAACTAATAGTTGCAGCTTGTGATAGAATAAAAAACACTCCAGGGATATTTCAACGAGTGCGCAATTCCATGAGAAGGAGGGCGGAAGCATGCATAGCAAGTGAAGGGGGCCATTTTCAACAATTTTTGTAATCATTTCGTTGGTTTTAATGTTATGTTTATGTTGTCAGTTGTTGTTGTTCATTACCCCTAATGTGTTTAATTTTTCCAATTAAATTAATAATAATTTTGCAAGTTAGACAATAGAACGGTTTTTATTTTTTTACTCAAAAATGGAGCATCGAAGGAAAGCAACTCATTTGTTTTAAATTGAAAGGGGAATTCAAAAATAAGTTTTATTTGGCAAAAAACCATTGGCGTACCATTTTTTTTCTTAAAAAATATCCAAGTCAATACTAAATTAACTAACTAAACTAACATTAATTTTTCTTATAGATACACACCCTTAAATATTCGCATATGATTAAGGAACACCCTGTATATTTAGCTCCTAAAGGACGGAAATACTCGTACATTGTCTGTAAAGTTTCTTTGTTTCACGACGTTTTGATTAATGTGGTTTTCAATCGTCATCCAGTGAAATGACAATAATCACAAAATCACGATTCAAATCAATTGATTTAAATCGTCGCAATCATGCCAACAACTTACCAAATCAGGATCATTGCGTCCGAAAATTTTTCGCAATTTTATTTTTTTCTGTTGCAGATTTCTGCTAAAGTAACGACCAGCTCAACCAATCAGGATGGCTTTTTATTTGGTCACATTCCTTACGATAACTCTCATCATCTCAACTTTTGCACAAATCCCCGGCTACGTTGAGGTCACTTCCGAAGGGAATGATGGTGGATTAGGCAGGATTGCAAGATGTGGAGAGAATGGAGAAAGGAAAATGTGTGTCAAATATTACCAGTGTGACCCTAACACCAGGACGGTTGATAAAAGTGGCGCTACGGATGGATTTGGGATCATTGATATCAGGTATGTAAGCACTTAAAGAAGTCTTCAACAGTTTTTCGGAGTGAGAAACAATTTGCTCAATAATTAATATGTTGGGGTAACAGCTTCCCAGAAGTGGGAGTAGTATTCTTGGCAAGGCGTTTAGAAATTCCATTATTGAGACCGAGAACAGACAAACTGACATCAAGTCTAGGAAAGGTATTGTCAGAAACAATAACGATAAAAGCATATAGTCAACGCCAAACAAAGTGGCGTGCACGTCATCAAGGTGGGTGTGTTGAAAAATTTACATTGTTGCCAAACTTTTTGTAAAATAATAAAATTTATTATTTACATATCTAGGTTTATAAGCAATATTAACCTCAAATGAGAACAAAAATAATAGTATAATAAAATTATAGATCTGTACTTGCATAATCATTAAGTATGACAATTATTGATCAGATGACACTATGAAACTACCATATTTAATTGATAGCTTAAAGGTACTGAATAAAAATCCAAATGGGGTCCTCCAAATTTTATGCATGGTATTTATTTTACAGAATTCATACAGAAAAATGCATTCTAAAATTAGGTAAGCTACTGGTGTAAGCTTTTTCTGTACAATAAAGTTAGTCGGAGTTTCTTCTAAAGATTTGAAATGCCACAAATTGATTCAGTGTCAAAATTAATACAAATGTCAGTTCCCAGTTTAAATAAGTTTCAAGGTGACAATGTGTCAACGCTGCGAAATCGGTTTAGTGCGTTTACATGTCGATAAGTGATTGGAGCGTTTGCAAAACATTTTATTTCACATAATGCGTCTAAATTTATCAGAAAGCAACTTATGTGATATTTTAATAACAATGTTTATATGACTATTAACCATAATAAGAGAGTAATGACCATTTTACAATTTATATATCACATTAATATGAAACTGCAATAGAGCAATTGTTTGTGATAGAAACCTAGGCATTAGGTCGGGAAATTTTTATCATGATGACGTGCACGCCACTTTGTTTGGCGTTGACTATAGGGTGGCAGATCTACGATCTTCGGGACCAGACTCAAAATTTTCAGGACTCCGAAGGACCTAAAAACAATTTTTTTCTATTCTGGGTTCTCTGGAATCGTGTTGTGGTACCCCTGTCTTCTGGAGTCGGTGAACTGTGTGTCATCTGATAAAAGATCACAAAGGTAGTCTTCCATCTTTTGTAAGCCAGTATGGAACGAATTCTAGGCTAAAGTCGAAGTATTCTACGAAGCTCTTTTTTCAACCAAGGAGGTCTCTCTAACTCCTATAATGTCACCAACAACACGGGTCCCTCATTCTACGCGTGAAACAGCCCTTAAATATAAGAGGGACCAGGGTACCAAGGTTCCTCGATACCAGCAAAGCTTCTAGATCTGATACGATCCCTCTTCTTGTAACTAGCAACGGAGCTTGATGAAAACAGAGTTTTTGAAATATATTGTGCTTCATTGCTTGACCAGCAGAAGGCTTTCAGTTCACTGGGGGACATCCTAGATCACTCAGCCTGGCCTTCCGCAAAGATTGGCTTCAACTCCAAGAACTGATCGGAGCGGGTATTATGTATTTTGTAAAGTGACATTTTGTCGGTTTTTTGGCATTTTATAGGTTTTTTGTGACATAACATAGGTTCTTCTACAAGATGTCAACTTAGCACTTACTGTTGTATACTTGTTGAGAGCTCGTTTTGTAGCTGCACCTGTTGCCTAAACGTCATGATGCTTCAAATGTGATTCAGAGATGGCATTATTGGAGGTCTACGCTATAAGTTGTATACTACAGCTGGAAGTAAGCGGCAGTGCATAGGTGCATAGTGAGGATATGTGTGCTAATAATATGTGTTGATAAGTCCATTGGCTTCTTATCTCAAATACACTTACTTGAGATTCAACGATAGAAACTAGTTGTGCATCCACTTTTTCTTATTCATTCTGGAAATTACATACGCAAATTTGCTGACTTTTAAAAATGAGAGAGATAAGAAAAGAAAATCCCTGGTTGGTGAAGCAACAGGTGAGAAAACATCCTACAGATAGGAAAGTTTATGAAAGGGAAAGGTTATTACATCAATTTTTATTTCTAGTCATTTAAATCTTATAGAAATTTATTTTACGATGTCAATAGAAAATACAAAGCAGGTATTTCGCTATTTGGTATTTGCCTCCGAATTGATTCAGCATAATAATATACATATTAACAGCTAATTTTTCGATATAATTATTCCAGAATAGCCCAAAACGAATGCTACGACACTTTGGAAGTATGCTGCAACCTTCCGGACGACGGCAGCCTTGATCCCGCCCCCAAGAACCCAGATACGCCCCCAGCGACTCCGCGACCTCCCCCACCAACATCTAGGCCACCACCTCCACCTACCTCAAGGCCACCCCCACCACCCACGCAACGTCCAAATCGACCAACAGGATGCGGCCATCGGAACGCAGACGGCATAGATTTCCGAATCGCAGGCGCCGAAAACGGAGAGGCGGAGTACGGAGAGTTCCCGTGGATGGTCGCTGTGATGAAGAGGGAGGAGCCTGAAGATGGGCGTGGCTTGCTGTGTGGAGGATCGTTGCTTAGTGATAGGGTAGTCTTGACGGGAGCACATTGTGTACACAAGTAGGTATATATTTGGATTTCTAGATCTATGACATCATATGCACAATTAGGAAAAATTTAGCCGAAGATGTTGGAGGTATTTTTCAAGAACAAATATTAGATATCCAAAAAGTCAGGTCTCAGCTTTAGAAACAAGGCTAACGTGCAAAAAATGATAGCAAAAAAGTAAAAAAATAAAAAACTCGTTCACTGATAAGAAATTTCAGGCACGGCCCTGTATCATATTGCTTATAAATAAATACTGCTCCATGCTGTCAGCATTCAATTCAATAACATTAGTTTGTTAACCTATGGCTCAATTTTTCCATCCTTATATTCCTACATACGGCCTTTGTTCGACAAATATATGCGGCGCGGCACATGTTGTACACACTCACCATCACAAGTTCGTTATTGTTTAGAGGAATAACCCATTTTCGTTTTTCCCAAATCCGACTTATGAACTAACAGCTCGATTTACTTACACGGCACGCCGTGCCTGCACTGGATACTGACGCATGTCGTCTTTGCTCTAGAAGGAGCAGGACATGATATCGCAGATTTTTCTTCGGTAACTAATAACTCGATTTTGTGTATGCAAAAAATTTAATTTATTTTTACAAGAACTATACGCTTCGTAAAGAAATGTCCTGATTTTAAGACCATCCTATATAACTCGGGTAATAGATATACTATAAAGGTATCCATTTACCATTTTCACATTCCGATCATATGGGCAGTTAACACTCCTACTTTGCAAACCCCTTATTAGCCACATTTTCTCGTCTCTTCTACTATAAATATTTTGTATATTTATCTTTTTCTATTCTCAGGCTTGGCCCAAGGTACATAAAAGTCAGAGTAGGAGAATGGGATACCCAGTCTCAATCGGAGAGGCTACCTCATCAAGAAAGGGACGTGAGTTCCATCATATCTCATGAAGACTTCAATCCTAGCACTCTGTTCAACGATATGGCCCTGTTGATATTGGAAAGACCAGTCGAACCAGCCTCACATATTGGAACAATCTGCCTGCCAATGCAGGACCAAGAGATAGAATCTAGTAGCTGTTTTGTCACAGGATGGGGAAAAGACGCTTTTGGTAAGAACTTTTCAACATTTTCAATTTTACGAGTAAATCTAACACCAAGGGACCTCAATGTTAAATGCATTTAAGGCTGAATGCATAGTCGTTTCTTTATTTGTTGTGAAGGTGCAAGATGCAGTAGTTGTCAAATATCTTTCATACGGATTAGGCGGCTTTGAATTGATCAGAGGCCTTTTTGTTCCCTTGTATATTCGTAACTTCAAGGCCTTATTATTTCGCTACCATAAAAAGCATATTCATGCAATTTTAGTGAGTCACAAAACAGTCTATGCCAAAATAGACTCTAAGAATGTAAGCGAATCCCATATATCCATTTAAAGTAAACATTGTATTTTTTTAATCCGTTTTTAGTATATCTTATAGCTGAAATGAGTTATTAAAACCGCTGATGTTGTCTTCTAGGTTTAAAGGGTAAATACCAAGCCATATTGAAGAAGATTGAACTCCCTACAGTAGAGTTCCAACAGTGCCAGGCAAGCTTAAGGAAGACTCGGTTGGGGCGATTCTTCAAACTTGACAAGAGCTTCATGTGCGCTGGTGGGGAGAACGGAAGAGATGCATGTACTGTAAGTCGTTTTAGACGGAAGCTAAAAAAAAATGTTTATAAACTGTTTCTTCAATACTAGGCTATTTCCTCAAGTTAACCGTGCCACGTGCTGTCAGTTCTTGCTACTCATATTTCCTCGAGCCGTGGTCCATCAAAGATGAGCACCGTGCCCGACTTTCTTCTAAAGATTGTCGAATGGAGACAGTTGATAGTAAAGGGTTTTCCATTAAGGACTTGACAAATTTCTTTTTAAATAAAACGCAAACCATTTGAGATATCTATAAAATTTTATTATTGGATTGGAGTATACTCAAAACATTTATGTATGGAATTTGACCTCGTTCATAGGTCCAATTACGGTAGTAAATTTTAATTAATTGTAAGCGTTGTTCGTTCGTGTACTGTTTTCTTTACTGAATGTTTTGACATTGACAGTTCAGTAATTGATTTAAAGGTGCGTTCACAGTGAAAGTTCAGAGTTGTCAAGTCCCTATTGGAAATCCCGATATTTATGGATCATTTTTTCGATTTTTCTTCTAGGGTGATGGTGGTAGTCCTCTAGCCTGTCCAGATCCTCTACGTCCAGAACGCTACATCCAAGCTGGAATTGTGGCCTGGGGCATCGACTGCGGACAACATGGAGTACCTGGAGTATACGCCAATGTTGCCAAATTTCGCACATGGATAGACAAGCATATGGAAAGACTCAACTTAGACACAGCAAGCTATAACAAGTAACATCTTGTAAAACATTGAAGAAGTGTTTTGTTCGGCATACTGAAGACAAATCTTATAAGAACAAAGTGAAATACGTATCGAATTTTTTTGTATCCACAACAAGGGACTTTTGTGTCAATATAAACATGGAAGAGTTGTGAGAATGTAAAAAATAGAAATAAGAGGATATTTTTCAACACTTCAATTATTTTCTTACCTTGTAAAGTAGCCTGAAATATAGTTCATGTAATAGTGGTACTAGCTACAGCTCCTTTTGGAACTGTACAGGACTAACAAGATTTTAAACGCGTGGTATAAGACAAATTTTGAAAAAATATCAAATATATTTATAAAGAAAAGAGTATTACTATGTATTTTCAGGAGCCCATATTTTGAATGTCCTATCATACGAACTGGTAGCAATATACTGATCATCAGGCGAGATATCCGCTGACATAATTTTTCCATCATGCCCTGACAAGGTTTTCAAAGGCTGCCACGTCCTATTCGTCCATAGTTTCACAGTGTTGTCATACGAAGCAGTTACCAGGTAACTCCCGCTTTCTTTCTGGAACTTCACGTCTGAGATCAGGTTGGTATGAGCTGGGATGGTGTAGAGCACGGACCGTTTTCTTAGATCCCAAATCTTGCAGCTGTTGTCTTCGCTAGCAGTAGCGATGTGGTAGCCGTTCGGCGAGAAGCAAATGCCTAGGATGGATTTTAGGTGGCCTTCCATGAACATGATACAGCGCCCCGTCCTGAGGTCCCACACTCTGCCAAATGAATCCAAACCTCTGAAACAGTGAATGAACAAAACCTGAGATAACATTTATTAAACCTATAATTTCATGCTTGAGGCACAAAGTCATGTCGAAACGAGTTTTTGTCTAGATCGCAGACAATTTTTAAAATTCGTTCATAGGAAACCTCAAAGTACCACACACTGAGACTCATTTTGAAAATAGGTTTCTGTAGGGCAAAATTTCAATTTTGACTCCCATTGTTACAAGGGAATCAAACTATATACAGTAATGGACAAAAGTATATAGACAAATATGAATATTTACCTAAATACCTTTAGAAAACGAATTCATACTTCATTGCTCCATAAACAAATGCATTATTAGTAGTAAAACTAAATTGCCTGTTTTTACATTAGCTGCAATGAACACAATACCAGTCTGAATATAAGCACTTTTTTATGAGGGACAAAAATATGTAGACAAATTCTTTTCAACATTAGTTTAGTACAGTTTCGTGTCTGAAGAGGATTAGTTTCTGTTCATCGAGTATTGTGGAATAAGTTGAGTGATTTTAAGACTATGCTGTGTGGTCCAGAAATTTCTTTCGATGTGAAAACTAAGATCATTGAGTTATACAAAGATGGTCAACATCAAGTCGAGATTCCCTAAAATTTGAAGCTGAAGCGTAAAGCAGTTTGGGCAATATTGAACAAATATAAGCAAAAAGGTATCTTGGAAGCCTCTAAGAGAAGTGGTCGGCTTAGAAAACAAAATGCTAGATCTGTTAGATTAATAAAACGAATTTCATCCAAAGATCCGTTTAAAACCCTAAGACAAATAAAAGCTGAAATCAAGACAAAAGGAATTGTCAGTGTTTCTACGAAAACTATAAGTAGAAGATCAAATGATTTGAAGTTATTTGCACGTCGCCCGAGTAAGAAGCCACTAATCTTGAGGAAAAACCGTAAGGACCGATTACAATTTGCACGGTTGCATCTTGATTGGAGCATCTGTGACTGGAAGAGGGTATGTTTCAGTGACGAATCCAAGCTCCATATGTTTGGATCAGATGGTGTTCATTACGTTAGACGTCCTAGTGGACAAAGAGAGAGGGAACCCCAAGTACACTTTGCCCACTGTCAAACATGGAGGTGGGTCTGTTGTGGTTTAGGTGACTTTCGGGGTTTGGGATGGGACATTTACATAGAATAGATGGCATTATGGATAAGTTTGTATACACAGATATACTAAAGCATCTCATGTTACCCTATATGGAAGACAATATGACTTCAAGATCAATCGTCCAGCAAGATATTGACCCGAAGCACACTTCAAATCTCGCAAAGAAATTCTTCCTGGATGGAAAAATACCTGTTCTCAAATGGTCTTCTCACAGTCTCCAGATATAAACTCCATTGAAAATCCAAGGGAATACTTAGATAAGCAAATACGAGATAAAAATTATTCAAACAAGGATGAACTTTTTGCAGCTTTAGAGCAAAAGTGGAGACAGATTGATGAATCTTATATCAAGAAACTTCTACAAACTATGCCGAGACGATGCCAGGTGGTGATTGATAATAATGGTTATGCTACAAAATATTAACACAAACATCGTTGGTTTTCTATAATTCAATGAACTTTTTCTCTTTTTCCTATAATTGTTTTGCTTTGTCTATATATTTTTGTCCTTCATAGTTCCAGTTTATTCAATTAATTTTTTTTTGAAGGGAGTCTAATGAATTTATTTATGTATAAGTGAGTATTATGCTATAACAAATTATACATACAGGTTGGTGTATTAATAAAACAAGTTAAAAAAGAAATACAGCACAATATTAATTTGTCTATATACTTTTGTCCATTACTGTATATATATATATATATAATTAGGTATATACATGAACATGACTATAAAAAATTTGTGAAGTATCATGGAGCTGCTTTTAAAATAGAAATTGGGGCACTTGGGACATCTAATTGGCTGATTTGGCATTCTTAAAAATACTCGCATAAGAAACCTTAAAACATTATATAAAAAAGAAAAGATATAACTTATGTCTTACTCACCCAGTGGCACAGACAGAACCATCAATCTGGAATGAAATACAATGGACAGGTTTTACATGGCCCTCTTGATGAAGTACTTCAGTGCATTGTTCCAGATCCCACAACCTCCAAGAATTATCATAACAACAAGTTCCCAGGAATCTTCCTGAAGGATGGAAAGCCAACCTTGAAACCCTGTGAGGCATATGTCCTTCAATATCAGCTATTGGTTCTTCACTAAAAATAAGAAATACTGATTATCATATGTCATCATAGAAACAACACATCTGATATATCCTGATATTTTATATAAATTATTTACCTTGTAAAGTCCCATAGTTTGACAGAACCGTCTGCTGCACAGGAAGCCATGTTGCAAATGGTTTTTTCTTGATCCAGTGTTGCTTTAGGATGAAAAACAATAGCTCCAACATTACAAGTATGTCCTTTGAGTGTCTGAACCAGCTCACAATCTGGTACTGACCAAACCTTACACAGTCCACTCCTATAAAAACGAGGTTTACACCATGTTAAATAACATGGATCAAAAGTACTTTAAGAACAATGAGAAGAACAATCATTTCAAAATTCGATCTTTAAGCCACATGAGCTGAAAGAACACATGAAGATAGAAACACTCTTAGCTACACATGAAATGTTCTAAATTGGTTAAGGATTTGAAACATGCATACATTAGTTTTGCAGAATCATTTGATCTTATTAAAAATATCACTCATAGCATAAGTTACTGGTAGAGGTTTACATTTGAAGCTAAAGGATAATATAGCTCACCATGATGCAGTAGCCAAAAGTTTGGAGTTAGGGCTAAACTCGCAAAAAGAAATTGGCCTTGTATCTCCAATTTGACTAGAATATATGGACATGGCCTGTAACCTCTTTTGAACCTCTTGCAACTTTGCAGTTTTGGTAGCCGCAGGAATGTTCAGCATTCTCCTAGCTTCTTCTAGCCTAGCTTTTGCTCTAGGCAAAGAATACTGTGCTATTGATAGCCTGGCAATTCTTAGAGATTCTGGCCCTTCATGATACCAGGTAGTTTCTTGATCCTTTTCAAATAATTTTCTTTCTTCTTCTGCTTCTCGTCTTATGACTGCATCTTCACCTATTCTGCTCAGGATATCTCTTAATCTACTTCTTCTATCAACAGGACCCTCTCCGAATAAGCAAATAGGTTCTCCTAGTTGTCTCAGGTTTCTTTTCACTTCAGCGTCATCAGTCGAGACGTTGATCGATCTAGCCTTGCGCCTACGTTCAAATTCTTCAAGCAAAGCCTGTTTGTCTCTAGACATAGCATCTTCAAGTTCCATATATTCTGAAGACCAAATAGAAAGTTTTGCAAAAGACCAAAGCTTGATAAATAACTCAAATTTGAATATTTGTAGATTTTTACCTGTGGACTCGTGGACTTGCCCTGCTGAGGCCGCTGGGGTCTCTGAATCGTTACTGTTTTCCTCTTCAGCCTCAAGCCTATTTTTCTCACTTTCTTCCAAAGATCCATAGTGAATGGTTTTGGTTTTCTTAACGTATTGGACTTCTTCATCGTCTGACATTTTGAAATTTTATTTAGAGCTGAATATGTAGGAGACTTATATTTTTGCTTTAACAATATACACCTTCTACCAAAAAAACATCTACAACCGCAAATGTCAAGCATCAAAAATAAAGGTTAGAATGGAAATGTCAACAGCATATTATTTGTCTCTCTCTAGTGTGAGATCCATGAAACTGACAGAAGCAGAAGCGATGCCCTAAAAACATTTGAAGAAAGGACTGTCCCGCACAGTACCTCAATGGCCCGAAGCTACAAATTGGATGAAACAGAAATGCGAAATGAACCATTGATTAAAGTATTCTACCTGAAGATGAAAAAATTATCCTAGATGATATGAGATACCCAGCATGATCTATGGGAATTTGTCCCGGCAATATTTCTTCTTACCAGTTAGAAACCTACTTTAAAAAGGTTATAGTCATGCATAATTCACGTGATCATAGCGTCGAGCTAACATTAACGGCCGGCATGGGTATCGTGTAAAAACCTATAAAACGTCAAGAAATACATATAAAGGTCTATTCACACTCAGCCGTGACCTGACAGTGCCGTGGCGTGCCAGTGATTCTCGCTGATGTGAGCTTACAGTGTTTTCAATTCACACCGATCAGTATTTTTCTCCGTGCTCTGACAGTGCAGTGTTCACGTGAGGTCCAGATGGCAAAATTTTGATGAACTTGCAATTATCGCATTAATTCTGGATTTTTTTATATTCCAACTACCACGAAGGCCTAAGGCCTAAACACCCATGCTGTACCATGGTGCTGTAGGAGGAAACACAGGGGAAAGGGAGATCCGCCGGGTGGTACCTTCGGATTCGACAGTCAGAGACCGTCTACCACCTAAGAAAGATAAAGAATAAGAAACGAGAAGAAAACGTAAGTCCTTGTATTTTGAATTTGACTTGTTCTACAGCACGGGATGTACGCGTACAAATTAAATTAGTTTTTCATCATTCATGTTTTTGACCAATTGTATCAAAATATTCACGAAATTACATAAAAACACGGCCGTGAAAATCGAAAAATATCGTTCCAAAACAATGCGATGATCACGGTACGGCGTCGTCGAGGGCACTTAGAACACGGCCACTTCCACGTGCCGGTCTGGTGTGAATCAGTTCATCCAAATTCCAGGAAGAATGTTTTTAGTTTCGTCGGTCGGATATTGTGCCGGTCACAGCACTACCACGTCACGGCTGAGTATGAATAGGCTTTTAGATGTCATCTTGTAAACTAGGTAGTTTTTAGGGCGCAAACAGTCATTCCACGTTTGCTCACTAGGATCGTTGTAAACGTCCATCTAAGGAGGAATCACTCAACTAACTTACACGCATTATTGGTTGCATATGTTTTGTGAGGCCAAATGGTCCTTGTCTGTAGTTCTTATCTCTGAGAACGTTGGTTGAATAGCAAGATCGCATCTGGATGATTATGTGTATTGGTCTGCATGTGTATAATATCAGTGATATTTGCTGTGTGAGAAAATCATTACTGAATATGCTGCCAATGAAGTATATCTATTGGTTGTGCCTGACGGGTTATTCTTATGTTGTGCTTTCTAAAGAGAGGTTATGTTCAAAGTTATAAATTACGAAAAACTGAGGAGAATTACGGGAAATCATCACCGCTCCCGCGTTGTGTGTAATTACTGTTAGCATGTATATGGCTTGTTATTCGACAGTGTGCAGTGAATATAATTATTTCTTATCTCTCTCATGTTTGAAATTCATCAAATTTGTATATGTAATTTCCAGAATGGATAAGAAAAAGTAAACACGCAACTAATTTCCAGCTTTAAATCTCAATTAAGTATATTTGAGACAAGAACCCAATGTAATTATCATCAATACATACAACTTACAGCTTAGACATGCAGTAATGCCATCTCAGAAGCTGATTTTACATCACATCAGCGCCAAAGATTGATAACAATCCTCAAGACGTTTAGGCAACACGTACAACTAAGTGCTAAGTTAAGATCTTGTAGAAAAACCTACATAATGTCAAAAAAACAGCATAATGTCAAAAAAATCGGCATAATGTCACTTTTCAAGATACGTGATACCAGTGCCGGCAGGAGTATCATGTAAAGAACCTAAAAAAACGTCAAAAAAATCGATGAAATGTCATCTTGCAGACTAAGTAGTTTATAGTGTAATTCATTCTACGTCGGGTTTTCGAGAATATAATTTAGGCAAAATAAATAGAGCTAGTCCTGCCCTGACCGAGCTTATCCACTTGACAGTTAAGAAAATATGTTCTGTGCTTTTCAGTGCGAGCAGTGCAGCCAACATGCATTTTCTAGTAACGTGTAGTGTCCTTTTTAGTGTTTTTTGATGTTTTTTAACTTTGCTGGGAATGTTTTCTTTAGATGCGTTTCCCCATCTCTTTCTAATGTTCTCTTTTCGAAAAAATAGGATATGAGAGAGATGGAAGATACGTTTCCTAATTAGATATTTTCCTAAAATAGGAATTTTCCTAGAAATTTTCCCAATAATGGCCATAATAGTGAAAAATCAATGATGGCAGAATAATATTTCATCAAATAGCGGCTAAAATATATGGGCAAATATTCAAATACGAGTTCAGATCATTGAACTTGGTCGGATAGGTTTTCTCTTTCTTTTCCCAGGTTCTGAAAAATCTCAAGTTTATAAAAATAAATATGAAAGGCCTAATTACACTCGGTACAGTCAGCATAATGAATATAATTTTTGACCCCGTTTTGAGTTTGCGTTACCGTATTCTATTGCCGTTAGTTTTATCCTAGACGGTCATTTCTTCAGGTTATCTTTGCGTTCACAGTGCGTCAAATAGAAAACTCGGGAGAAATCTGAAAAATATTGGGGATTTTTTTATGTGTATTTTTTAAGACGAACGGTATTGATTTGCCTTAAAGGCTTGGCCCGGCGAATATACGGACTATACTTGGTTTATAGGGGTCTTACGCGGTTTCTATTGGCTCACTGACTCATAAAAAACTAAGGGACACATTTTTGTTGGAATTTTCCAAATGACTGAACATTTACATACGCGTCTCCAAATTTTGAGAAAAGGTCGAGTGAACTTTGTGTTGAAATATCTACGAAAACTGACGGATTCGTGAAGTGCTGTGAAGAAACCAATGTTTTTGTGTTTTTAAAGCCCAGTAAGCTAAGGAATGAAGAAACAATAGAGAAAATACTGTGAATATCGATTATTTTTATAATTCCAAGAATTTTTAGAGGACGTTTTTCGACGTTCAATTAAGAAACAGACATTCTACACTGTAAATATTCGTTGTTCCGATAGTATTGTTTGTATTAAGAAACATAACCAAGAAAAAAAAGCTCTACAAAAATGTTACCCCAACAGTATTGCCTGAGATGGAGATATCACCACTCAAACTTGCAGACTATGTTTTCCCAGTTGTTGGAACGAGAAGCTTTTTGTGATGTTACATTGGCGTGTGAAGGAAAGACCATTAAAGCACATAAAATTGTCCTTTCGGCATGCAGTACATACTTCGAAACCATTCTATCCCAGTATGAAGAAAAGGACCCTATTCTAATCATGAAGGATGTAAAGTATGTCGATATTAAATGTCTAGTGGAATTCATGTACAAAGGAGAGATTAATGTTGAACATGTAAGTAAAACTTTTTCAGTTTATAAGCTTTGAAGTGCTAGCTCGAACATTCACAATTTGTTGATAAGGCCATCTGCTAGTACTCAGATATTTGAATTCATCAGTAGTATATTTTTCTGTTTTTTGATAGTTAGCTCTGACACTGTCAGGTGGTTGTTGGTATATCACAACAGTATGAAAGGGATTTTTGTGGATTCCTTTGTCTGGGTTTGCCATGAGAGCTTATAAATCTAGTCTTCTGTTGTTTTGTGTTTTCTATATAGTCTGCTGATTATTCTTCATTCACACTTGTTGGTATTTGATTGTTTTGGTGTTTTGCTGAAGTAAATGTTTTACCTTAAGCATTGAAAAAGCCATTGTACACCAAAACAGGAGTATTTGGCCACTATAAAGTGGTCCAGTAGTCCTGTGGTTTTATGCTGAATAGCAGTAGCTGAGCGCACTCATATTGTTTTTGTAGTCATATTTGGAAACAATAAAGTGATATGAGGAACATTTTAGAGTACATTTTCAATTGAACAGGGTAGCCAACTGTTGTAAGCTCATCATATCATATAAAATGTAGATACTCTGCTTATACAAATGTCGTTGTGTTGTGCAAACACTTTATTCAAATTATTCTTCAACTTAATAACAAAGACATAGCAATGTCAAAACATAGATGCCTGTGCAGGGGTGGTGGAACAGTATATGTTATAATACAGTAAGATTGAAGTAAAATTGAGATCTATAACAAAAAATGGAACAAATCCTTATAAAACTACACATTAAAATCACAGTTTAAATCATACAAGCATGACCCCTACAGATACTTGACACTTGCTTGCACTTTTAATGTTATCTGGTAGCATGTTATATGCTTTTATTGTCATGTATAATGAGCCTTTCTTAAAATACAATCTGTAAGCTACCTCTTCCCTAGGTTTTAATGCTCATAATGTCTGCTTAGTGATGATGGTTGTAGTTAAATTCAATACTAAAACTTGAGTTTTGAGATACCTTAGTAAATGATTGCCAACTTAAATTGCTATGTAATCATAGGCTCTGTTTCCATGGGATACACTCTTTCAAAGTCATTGGGCTCATTTAGGAAATTATAGCAAAATAGCTGTGTGTCAGTCACCAATTCGTTCAAATACTACCTGACATGGAGCTTTACAGTCCTGTAATTTTTATAATGCATCCATAGGGAGATATAATAACCTTGTAATTCGTTATGTAGCTCAATATTTTCTTGGATTTCTAGTTACTTTAGTGTGTAGAGACATGCACATTATTAAAACAAAGCTTATCCACACTAAACTGATTTTAATCACCTAAATCAAATACCTATGTTGGAAAGTGCTGACTGGTGATTCCTTTACCTAAAGGCTTATGCAAATCCCTAAGATAAAATTGATGCCCATATGAACTACTTAAAAAACCTTGTAATTTGTACATGTACCAAGCTAGGGCTGCATCCATAAATTGTTACAGAGTGTACTTTGTGCTACTGTCATGGAAAAAGTTGTTAGAAATTAGTCGGCTGTGATCAAGTGTTATTATGTGACTGTGTAATAATTTAGGCGTCCTAAAAATGAAGTTTCACAGTATTCTATAGTAAAATTTAATCTGTCAATTACTGTGTATGGTATTTTCAAGTGATTCACAAACGCACCCTAGTATTCCTTCTCTAGGCCTCTTTTTTAATAGCTATTTCATCTGCCAAATATGGTGAATGATCTGTGGGTTATCAATTTTTGTAATTATTTTTGTAGGCAAAAAGATTTATAACTATCTTTCCCAAAGACTGTGCCAGTAGTTATTGTATTTTATATTTTAGAGTAAAGCAAGCCTTATTCCTCATTTTGCTTTTCCTAACTTGGGTAACTCACAATATAATAAAAATTATTAGCAATAACAGTTACATATTTTTATAATGACTTTAATCCCCCGAAATTTGTATTACATGTTTATAGTGAATCATTCCATATGATACTATAAACAGTATGGAACCAGACATAGTAATTCAAACATTTACACCAAATGAAATAAATGATGGAGTTGTAATGGCAGGAGATGAAGTCTGGTAACTGAACGACTCTAGGCCCTTTTTGATGACGTTATATCAACCAATACTAAACCTTACATGACTTAACCTTTTTAAGACCCTTGATCAAATTTCCTTGAGCTTCTGATATGTCAGATTTTGATTTTGCTGAGCACATCTATTATTATTAATAATAATAATATCCTCTTTATTAAGAAAGCTACATAAGTGTGATTCATTATGGTGAAGTTTAGCTACAGTTAGTCTTACATTTGATCATAAGAATACAATCGATTACTATCAATCTCTATTGTGCTGAATCTCTAAGCCCTTGGGCCGTTGTTCCAGGCATATTTGTATGCATTTGTTGGGATCCATAATAGACCTATCTTGCTTAGAGTTGTATATATATGTATATGTATATAATATTATATATCTCTTCATGTCTTTCCCAGATTTTTATATGCTCACTTGCCTAGGGCAATGGTTACCTAGCATTATAGTCCGGTTATGGATCCATTACTTGACAGTATATATTTTTGGGCCAGAGTAGGAGATCTCACCACCTGGAACAGTGCTTATCTGTTAGAGCATATAATACTCCTCTGCTTAACTATCGATGATGGTGCTTTATAATTCTGGCCAGTATGTAAACAAACTGTCTGGATATATAAATTCATAAGCTGTCTTGGAAGCTTTATTAAAGACAGGTAGAAGAACAAAAAGTCAGTATATTATCAAGATTTTGCATCAAACTAACAGTTCTCAAGCTCAGGTATGCGCGTATTCTTGGTTATTCAAAGTAAACTCTCCTGTAAAATGATAGTACTGGTATCTTTTTCACAAAGGCTTTCTAGTTGTTTCATAAATATTTGTAGTGCATTTTACAAGATTTTTTGTGTAGTGAACCATTTATGATACTATTTTGTTTTTCTATGGTTCATTCTTTACCATTTTCGGTAGCATTTTCTTGCTAGCTCTGTATCCTAAATATCTAAATAATATGTGTAAACATTTTCTGTTAGCTGTACACAGTGTAAACATTTACATCCCATTCTGGAATGTATTAGGTAAAATCCAACTTTATGTGGGTCCATTTTATTCATAACTTTAGTGTGATTCATTTGACGAGATATAGTGGTATAATTTTGAAACTGGATCTTTAAAAATGTATGCATAATATATGTATGTATGTAAATGTTACAAAGTCAAGGTCACTGGCTATAAAGCAAGTGTTTTCCTTTTATTCATGCTAGCACATGTGGTACATCAAATAATGTAGTAGTTGTTATTCTGAAAAATAAATATGAGAAACGGTGTTTTCGAAAATTTTACATTTTGTTGGAACATCAGAATTTTGCATTTTCCTTCAAAAAGTCTGTGTCAAGTTCATTTTTTTCAAGAACCCAAGGTGTCGAAACAAGTTGAAACATAAAATTGACAATAAATTCCGATGAGACATAAGAAATGTTTCAACGTCGTGTCCTTAGAATATGACTCTATTTCTGTTATGAAGATTTGGCTTCCATCGGATGTCAAGAAAAGCTCCATTATTTTCTGGTGTTGACAGTTTGACTGGATGTGATACTGTGGTTTGACATGTAATGTATGGCAGATTCTATCAGTTTCTTGAATAAAAATAACATACTATTGTCTGGTTCCTTTGAATATAAGAAAAGAGGATTTAAATGTCAGTCGAATTTGAAATGTTTTTTCCAATACACTAATGAAAAGTGAAAAGAGTGGAAATTATTTCAGCTATTAAGAATGCATTTTTTTAGAAAGATCGCATCAAGATTTTTTTACATTGGATTTCCCTGATATTTCTTTAATATATATAGAAGACCCATGGTTAGTGATCATAGAAATGTCTTCCAGGATTTTTCCGATTGATAATCTGTGTATTTAGAATCAGAATGTTGATGATTTTTTTTTGTTTTCAATAAAGGTGCTTTATCCGCGGTTTGAACAAAATTTTGGAGGAGAGTTTAGGGGTCAAGTTCGTTTGGTACATATCAAAAAAGGCAAGATGAGGTCAGATCCTTATGTTAAGAAAGTCTCCCCGATTAGTCGGATAATAACTTTAGATGAAGAATCCAAAGCTGGCAGGCCAAGTTATTTTACGGAAGTTCATATCTTGGTGATAAATAGCATAATACGTAATTAGTAGGACATTTGAAAACACAAGTATGCTTACTTGATTCAAAATAACCTAGCATTAGGAAATTGGATACAGCTACGAGTTTAATCTACCTTGTAAACTCGAGGACTTGAGATCAAAGCTGGGAGCAGGCTTTTTTTAAATAAATGCATCATTTGGACATAACTTGTTTGAAGAACATTTGATGGATTTCTAGATAACCAGAATACTGTTGTACTGTTGAGCCTTAAGTAATAGGCATATATTTCTTTTTGTTATGCCACAGAAAACATAGAGACGTGGCCATAGGAACTCATAATTTCTAGAATAATATACACCGATCTCCATTAATTTTAAACTGATCGAGAAAACCATGCAATACCTATACTATGGCCGAATTCAAGGTAGACCTCGACAATGCTTTTCTAATTCAAAGCCCCTCCCAACGTTCAGTCACAAATAGTAGGTATTTTGAAATTATATATTTATTAGTCAAAGGAATGCACGCTGTTGAATTGTTCTCGTAAAAATAATTGTAATTGAAAATAAGACTAACCTTCAATTAAGTTTTGTGCTAATGAGTAGCTATTGTCATATTTCTACAAATATTGTATGTTCGTAAATTTTTTACTATGAAGAGGAAATTTAAATACGTAATACTCGTACGCGTAGGTAGTTTCGTAATTGCTAGCAAACCACAATTAATTTAGACTCTTGTTTTTTATAGAAACCACAAAAGTGAGGCCTAATTGTACAATGATCAGTAGTAGGTCTGTTCAAAGCTTATTGGTGGCCCTATTTTTCAATCGGCGAGCGGTCTATGACCTGGCA